TTTTTTTTTTTTTTTTTTTTTTTTTTTTTTTTTTTTTTTTTTTTTTGCAAACCACTTAAGTGAAGGGCGATAGAAACACTCATCTTTGTGCAGGGTTCTTGTTACACAACAAATTGATCCGTGCCTCAAAGTTAATCTTTGAAGTGAAATAAATAACCAAAAAATTCATATGGCTTTATATTTAATGTATCACTGAATGAAAATTAAATCAACCAATTATATGGTAATCAACACATTACATACATACATCAAACTAATCAGTAAATGATAAGAACATGACACAAAGTATAATCTTTTTTCCGCAGTATCCTTCTTCTAATAATAATAATATTATTATTATTATTATTAATATTATTAATTTAATTAATCATCGGTTATTACTTATTTCGAGTTGTGGCTAAAGGTATTTGAATTGCCATTTTTTATAAGAACATTTTTTAATAATCGGGTGAAAAATTAATTATTAATAATAACCTTCAAATTAGACTTCTCACCCCTCATCCTTCTTCCCCCCTCATTAATATATTACTAGTACCACCTTAATAATATTTTTGCAACATAACTGAATCAATAAATATCAACAAATATAATATATATAAAAATATTGTGGGGTAAACTTGTAATAAATCTTGTTTATATTATTATTATTATTTTGGTCTATGATTGAGTTACCCTTATTTTTTTTTAACAATACTAAATCAACTCGGTTACCTCGGTTAAAAGGCGCGTTTTTGCCCATTCTCAAAAACACAGATCGACAATTAACTGAACTAAAAAATTATTTAATCTCCGATCTTCAATTACAAAAAGTAACAAAAGTAATAAGGATAATGATGGTTTGATTTTTGGATATTGGATAATTCACATGACGGCCGAATATATACAATGATATGGCGTCGTTTCCCGTTGAGGTTGAGTAATGAGTATTACTAAAGATTATCTTCTTCATTCATGTATTCCAATTTTTTTATGAGATTGGAAATTTTTACAAGAGATAGAACAAAAAAAAAAACATATACAGGTTTTAAATATTTATTATTTATTATTTCGAATTATTCGAATTATTCGATAATCAAGAATTAATAAGAATTTTGAAGAATTTTTTTTTTATTATTTGTGTAATTTTGATTATTATTTTGATATTCCAATAAATTTCTTGATTTTTTTTCAGTAGATTCGTAGATTCTTTCCTTAAAATTCAAAATTCCTGAATTAAAAAGAAATTTTAAATTTAAAGTTTTGTCATTTCATAAATTTCCCAGATTTTCCAATTTTACTGTTTATTATTATTTATATTTATTTTCCATTCATCGTAAATTATGTAATAAAAGCAAACTGGCAAGAGAATGGCATATTTGAAAGGATCGAGATATTAATTACTTTTTTTTTTTTTTTCAAAAATGCTTAGTCTGTAAAGATGTCATATCCGAAAATTTTTATATGTATTTTTTTTTTTGTCAATTTAAGAGAGTTTATAAATTTTTTTTTTTTAAACGTAAAAATCCTCATCACATGACATAATTAATTTAATATATACAAATATGACCTAAATCAAATAATATGAACAATATTATCAACAATAGTTATTTTCACGCATAAAAAAAATTTTTATTTATTTTTTTTTTTTTTGGGGGTGGGGTAAACCTTAAAATTAAATGTACATTAAAATATTTTGTGGGGTTTAGTTTTTTTTTTTAAAAAAATCTAAAGAAATTTTTGAATAAAATTGGAAGAAAGAAATAATTTTTTGGTTAGAACAATTTTTGAATATATGTATATTTGTTTATTTTATTTAAATTTCTTGATATTTTTGGATACTTATTGTAATTATTAATTAATGTTTGTTATTTTCTTTTGGAGTTACAATAAAAAAGTTATCGTTTTTGTTAAAAAAAAAAAAATTTTAAATTTATAAATTTTATAAATTTATAAATTTTTTATATTTTTATATTTTATATTTATATATTTTTTTTATATATTTTTTTTATATATTTCAAAATAAATAAATAATACATTTAAATAAATATTCATTTAAATTATAATAAATTATAATAAGAATTTCATAATTTTCATCATTTTCATATTACATAATAATAATATATTATATTGTTCCCATTATTAACTTCTTTTGCTAATTCTAAAATCCCGATCTCAAGATCTCAAGGAGAGAGAAATTTTATTTATTTATTTTTTTTTTTTTAAAAAAAAAAGGTAACCTCTTATATATTTTTTTTTCCTTATATATTTTTTCCTTATATGTACTCCTCCTTCCCCCTCTTATTCTATTATATACTATACATTTTTCATTATATATATATATATTCTCTTAATATTACGTATCTTTTCTCCCTACATTTTCATTTCATTTATAAATTTAGTAATTATGAAAAGAATGCACTGATCGTAACACAAGAAAGTATTTGTAATAATTCAAAATTCTCTCTCTACGATCTTTTATTACATCATCAACTTCCCTCACCCTGCGTCTTATTGAAATTTCCTAAATTTCTTAATTTCAAATATTAAAAATTTGATTTTCATAATTTTATTCCTAATAAAGTTATTCTTACCAACTTACATAATTTCTCCGCAGTTTTTCAACTTCCAAATTTGTAAAATACCTATAAATTTTTTGTAAATCCTTATTTATCCAATACAAAAAAAGAATGAAAAGTCATCAAATATTTTTTTTTTCATTTTTCTTTTTTTACTATTTATTTTAACGAAATAAGAAATATTCGGTGATCATCAATTCGAATCATCGACGCCTCATAAAAAAAAAGAATAAAATTGTCCGTTCATTATTTCCAATAATCCTTTCCCCGCTTATTTAATATAAAATATAAATATATGCTAGTATTGATGTTATCTAAGTGGAATGCATGTGGATTCAGGGATTTACTATTAAATATTTCAAGTAATCAAACAGGTTTATGAAACACATGGAATGATGTACATAAAATATCTTCGGTTGTAAAAGTTTGTGGCAACAATTTTCTGGTGATTATTGTTATTTGATTGAAAAAATCAAAAAAAATCTTTTTTAGTTTTGCATCACATTCTTGTGTTATTGTTATTTGGGTTGTGATGCACACTTATCCGATTACATTTTCATTTTCACACGAAAACCACATGAGAATGAAGCAACTTATACATAATGATATCATAACTATACTATAACAATCATATAAAAAAAATAAATATAAACATATACACAACATATTAATCTTTTTTTTTTTATTTAATCGGTTAATATTTGAATTCAAAAATTCAAATCGAACTATAACAGATAACAAGGAGAGAACAGGTATGTAAACTACTATTTTTTTTTTTTTTTTTTTTTA